CCCCATTCAAGACCTATTAGACATAGAAGGTGCGGGTGGTCAGGAAGTACCCTATCTAGGTTACATCCAAGTCAACATAAACTTTCCAGAGCACATCATGGGGAAACCTTTAGAGATTCTTACCTTAGCACTTGTTGTGCCTGACCACAGAACAAACATGGACGTCCCCTTGTTGATAGGCACCAACACACTGGATCCACTGTATGAAAAGTGTGCTCTTATTCAGGATGACAGCGCCAAACACAGGGCCAACGGTGGTCAATACTCCTCCCTTGTGAAACATTTGTATCACAGATTCAAAATAAATCAACAAAATGGCAGAGTTGGGACTGTGAAGCTGCAGAGCAAAAAGAGTGTCGTCATTCCTGCAGGTGAAAGAGTGGCTTTAACTGGATACGCAAAGCATGTCCCAGTAACTACCGATACTCCCCTTATGGTAGAGCCCCCCCAATCCAACTTACCTGCTGGTCTCTTGTTCTGTAGCTACGTCATGACAAGCCCGCCATTTCCATCTTTCAAGATGCCTGTTTTGGTGAAAAATGAGACCGCACATGACATCAAAATATCAGCAGGTCATAACATTGCAGAGTTATTCTTTCCTAAAGCTGTGTCATTCTTACCACGTCATGATGACAGAGTAACATTGAGTGAGCCATCTCACCTGACTTCATCCTCCGCGACATGTAACTCCATGCATGTGTCTAAATCTGGTAAACTCACTTTTGACTTTACAGACTCTCCCTTGTCTGAAGAGTGGAAGAAGAGAATTACCAGGAAGTTGAATTCAATGTCAGACGTTTTTGTACACAATGACCTCGATTTTGGTCATACCACTGAGATCAAACACAAGATACGCTTGTCGGATCCATCACCATTTAAACAGAAGCCCAGACCGATTCATCCCTCTGATTATGAGGCTGTCAGACGTCATTTGAAAGAGCTTCAAGATGCGAACATCATACGTGAGTCAGAAAGTCCCTTCGCTTCACCAATTGTAGTGGTGAAGAAAAAGAACGGTGATATTCGGCTATGCGTCGATTACCGAAAACTGAATAGACAAACCATCAAAGACGCATATGCATTACCGAACATAGAGGAAGCCTTCTCAGCCTTGAACGGGTCCAAGTGGTTTTCTATTATGGATCTCAAGTCTGGCTACTATCAAGTAGAAATGGAGGAAGAGGACAAGTGCAAAACAGCTTTTGTGACACCTATGGGGTTCTGGGAGTTTAACAGGATGCCACAGGGAGTTACGAATGCCCCCAGTACTTTTCAGAGGGTAATGGAGAAGTGTATGGGTGGAATGAACTTGAGAGAAGTCTTAGTCTTTCTTGATGATGTATATTGTTTTCTCAGCTACACTTGAAGAACATGAAGATCGATTACTCAGAGTTCTCCAGAGGTTGAAGGAATTTGGCTTAAAGCTTTCACCTGAGAAATGTCAATTCTTCAGAACATCTGTTAAATACCTCGGTCATGTTGTGTCTGCTACTGGGGTAGAGACCGACCCAGCCAAGATAGCTGCTCTGACGACGTGGCCTAGGCCTAATAACATCAAAGAGCTTAAATCATTCCTTGGATTCGCTGGATATTATAGGAGGTTCATAAAGGACTATTCCAAAATCGCAAGGCCTCTGAACGACTTAACAGCTGGTTACCTGCCACCAAAAAGGAAGTCCGCCTCATATAGCAGCTCAACACGTCTCTCAAGTGTAGATTTCAGAAGACCCTTTAACGAGAAATGGACATCAGCCTGCGAAGATGCATTCAAGACTCTTATTCAAAAGCTCACAACAGCTCCGATCCTTGGGTTTGCCGATCCAAAGAAGCCTTACGTGGTACATACAGACGCAAGCACTCATGGTCTTGGTGCGGCTTTATATCAAGAGCAGGAAGGCAAATTGAGAGTAATAGCCTATGCGAGCAGGGGACTCAACCGCTGTGAACGAAGGTACCCTGCACACAAACTCGAATATCTCTCTTTAAAGTGGGCTGTCACAGAGAAATTCTTTGATTATCTCTACGGGCGAAATTCACTGTTGTGACAGACAACAACCCACTGACGTATGTACTGACGTCTGCCAAGCTTGATGCTGCAGGCCACCGCTGGCTGGCTGCCCTTTCCAGCTTTGACTTTAACATCCAGTATAGAGCTGGAAGGAAGAACCAAGACGCAGACAGTCTCTCGAGGCGTCCACATCCTCACGACGAACACCAACCTGACTTCACTTCTCAGGATGAGGATAATCGCATTCAACGTTTCCTTGCCCAGTTCCTACAGAATGACAGAGGTGCCGATTTCCCATCTGATGCTGTGAAGGCAGTGTGTCAGAGGTACCAGCACATCTCAGCAGCAAGTACAGAGCCGGACCTCCAAACGCCAGTACCAGTGGAATGTTTAGCAATTGAGGCCTCTGCCATTCCCATGGGATTCTGTCAAGCTGATGTACTTGGGTCATGTACGTTACCGCAAATGTCACTCCAAGATTGGGCACGTGAGCAAAGGCAAGATCCAGTCACCAGTAGAGTAATAAAGCTTGTCAAAGCAAAAAAACGACTTCCATACAGGTTGAGGCGTCAAGAGGATCAAGAGGTCCAGTTGGTGTTGAGAATAATGGAGCAATTGGTCTTCTCTGATGAAGTCTTATACCGAAAATGCATGAGTCAAGGTGAGCCTTTCCATCAGCTTGTCCTTCCGACGAAATACAGAAAGACAGCTCTAGAAAACCTCCATGATGCTGTCGGACACCTGGGCACTGACAGAACTTTGGACTTGGTTCATGCCCGATTCTATTGGCCTCGTATGGCCATGGACGTGACTGAGAAAATCAGGACCTGTGAGAGATGTATACGGAGAAAGGCACAGGCTGAGAGAAGCGCTCCCTTGGTGAACATAAAAACGAGCCGTCCTTTGGAGCTGGTCTGTATGGACTATCTTTCACTCGAGCCAGATGGGAAAGGAACAAAGGATATCTTGGTCATTACGGACCATTTCACTAAGTATGCAGTAGCGGTTCCAACAGCAGATCAAAAATCAAGAACAGTGGCGAAAGCTCTATGGAACAACTTTTTCATTCATTACGGATTCCCCGAGCGATTGCACAGCGACAAAGGGCGTGACTTTGAATCAGCCCTGATCAAAGACCTGTGTCTGCTACTTGGCATTAAAAAGACGAGGACAAAACCTTACCACCCACGTGGAAATCCCGTGGAGCGGTTTAACAGAACACTTCTTGAGATGCTGGGTACATTAGAAGAGGGAGACAAAGTGAGGTGGAGGGAATTCGTGCAGCCCCTTGTTCATGCATATAACTGCACTAAAAATGACACTACTGGCTATTCCCCATACCAGCTGATGTTCGGCCGCCAGCGAAGACTCCCAGTAGACATCGCTTTTGGGCTGAGCCCTGAGGGAAGCAGTAAACTATCCCACTCTGAATACATCAAGAAGCTGACAGAGAGTCTAACTGAAAGCTATCGCCTGGCCACTGAACACAGTTTGAAGAACGCTTTACAGAACAAGCAGAGATTTGACAGCAAAGTGAGAGAGTCCACACTGGTAGCAGGAGACAGAGTCCTTGTGCGGAATGTCGGCATCAGAGGGAAGCATAAAATCGCTGATCGATGGAGTGAAACCATATACTCTGTTGTCAAACAGATCCAAGACTCCCCTGTCTATGTCGTCATCCCAGAACACACAAGTGGACCTGAAAGAGTTTTACATTTTGCCATGTGGATTTCTTCCATCCACTGTCAAAGATGTATGTCCCAGAGAGTCTAAGTCCAGACGGAAACGGGATCACTCACCTTTTCGTGTTGATGATGGAGCTGAAGAAGATGGAGAACTGTCTGAAGAGGAGGATGAGGCCGAGTATTACTCCCTTTACGACCAACCTTCTACTTCCACTATTGCTGAACAGAATGGAGGGAGTCTACAAGAGGAAACCAGACTAAAACAAGGATATAATGCTGTAGAATTTGCTGAAGAGGATACCCAGATGGAAAAGGAGCCTGTCTCTGGAAATCAGGAACCTAATGTGACTTTTGATGTCTCCACACTGAACCCTGCAGCTCCAGCATTCGAACCTGAGGGTGTCGGAGGTGATCGAAATAAGGAGACTAGTCAAGTTCACTTCTCACCAGCGCCTGATATTGTACGAGCTGAAGAAAATCCCCCTAATGTTCCAGAAATGGACCTGAGTGAGCATTGTAGTCCTAGAGATGGATCAGGAATTGGATTGGTGTTGACAGAAGAAAGTGGAAATGTGAAAGAACACAGCGAGGTTGCCCCTGAAGAAGAGGTGGTGTTGAGAAGATCCTCTAGGGATAAAACAGCTCCCAAAAAGCTGACCTACCCAACTTTAGGGAACCCATTAGTCACAGTTATGCACTCCATTTTAACTGGGTTAAACCAAGCTTTCTCCCAGACCCTTTCCCTTGACACTGTACCTTACGTATGTCATTTAACACCCTATCTGAAATAGTGTAGCGTGCAAAATGCAAGGATGCATGTAGATTAAGGAGGGGAGGATGTAACCCACTCGAAAATAGCTTACTAGCAGTTCATTACATTTTTAGTTTAGTATCTGATTTCTTGATTGCTTTAGTTGTGTTTTCCCTGCACACCATATTCGTCCAGTAGGTGGCAGTGGTGGCACTGCATAGAGAGGAAAGCTGATACACCGACTCTCGGAGAAGAAGACAGAAACCGCGAACAGCAGGACGATAGAGCTGAAGCCCTCTTTCCATTTTGGAATAATAGTTAAAAGGAAAAGAATATTTAAAAGTTAAAAGTGTTTTTCCCACCAAACCTACTTTTAAGGCGGAAATAACAGAGCAAAGGGTCGAAATTACAACGAGTTTACCTACTTTTGTGATTTTTCTCCGGTGAGTGTTTTATACATGCTCGTCATTTGTGTTACTAGCAGACATGGCGTGATAGATACGATTAATGAGTTAATTATTGTAAGTTATACCCTGCTCATTTTTTTGCACTTTGTGAATTGTAACAGTACACTCTGTACATGGCTTTGGGGCTCCGATTTGATTTTACAGAGTTATGTCATTACCTCATTACATATTTCACGTTAAATAAACAGACATGCATAATTGTTTATTATTATTATTTTAAAAAATTCAGGATGACATGCCCCTGATCAGGAGGTGGTGGTGTGCTCTCATACTGGACAACTTCACTCTGCAAATGCATGTAGCTGTTTGCATGTTCCTACATTAAACATTAGTTTATGTACTACATCTACCAATATACATGCCTACCTCTTGTCATTTGTTTTTCTTAGCACTCAACCTTACAAAAGGCAATGTCTTCGGGGAGATTCAGACAGAGAGATTCAGGTAATTTATTGTGCACATACATTAATTAAGCAATTTCTTTAAATAGTGTTCTGGTAAAACTTCCATTTGTTGGTGAAACAATGGAGTTATTTGTCATTGTTCAAGACAAGCATGTTAAGGGAGGGCTTTAGTGAAGCGCTGCAGAGCTTCTGTCCTAACGGTGGAAACACAGTGTGATTTTGTGCTTGGTGCTACAGGTCCAAGGCTATTAACACCGCCCGACCCTTGAAAGCCCTGGCCCACACTGGCCCGACAGTGGGGAAAGCGGCTAATGTGTGTTGGAGCGATATTATTTTAATATTATCGTTATAAGAGAATATTTATCTCTTTATTTATTATTTTATTCAGAGCATGCAGCTATGACAACAATATATCAGGTTTGTCTGAACCAAGGTTTATATTTTTTTTTCAACAACATTTATATACAAGTATAAATAACAATGTTTTTTGTTTCAACAGCTTCCCCATGAAATAATAGCAACTGGTGATTCTGCATATTTGACGCTTTCACTGGTATGCAGATGGTTTAGGGATGTGGTCACAAATGAAATTTTCCAGAAAGCAGCACACTTTGCCTGGCTGAACAGTAAGATGTTTTTTTCTGTTCAATGCACATTTCTTGGATTGAAATTTGTGGTATGTGACATTTAAACTTGAATCTCCACACTTATATCTTTTCTGTATTTTGTCTTTACATTTTAAGGTGTGGTCAACTGGAAAAAAAATTCTCCGGACTACTGTGATGAGTTTCGCCGGATCTACAGCTTCAGGGAATGCTTGGAGCTTTTTTTAAGTCCTATCCACCAGGGTACAGGGGAAGAGGAAGACGAGGGGAACTGCTGGGCTTTTACTGCGAAGATCTTTGTACAGGATTTTGCTCACAGGACTGTTTTTTTTTTTTTTTGCTGCAGGAAATGAATTTCTGTAAAACTCAAAACTTGTAGATGGGAATTGAGAGATGAACTGGTTTTGATGTAGTAATTGATGCAACTAAAAGGTAAACTTAAAGGTCAAACTTGAAAAATTAGAATATTGTGCAAAAGTTCATGTTCAGTAATTCAAATTAAAAAGTGAAACTAATATATTTAGTATAAATAACTATATGCATATGGCATGATTATATATAATTTTCAGAGGGCTTACATTTTTGTAATATTCTGATTTTGTGAGATTTTGAATTTGATGTTCATCAAAATTATAACTTTTGCACGATATTAAAATTTTTTGAGTTTCACCTGTATAGTGTTCTATTGAAAAGCTATGGCAAAAACATAGGTTTCACTAATTGTGAATATGGTAAAGTACCTTGGTTCTTTAAGGTTTGCATAAATTCCATTCTGCTGATGCATAAGTGCAGTTTGGAGTCTATAATAAAGAAAAAGTGACAAAGTCTTTGTTTTGTTGTGTTCTTAAGAGCATGTATAGAAACTCCCTTATAGGTTTATTATAGTACAACCATTATTAATTACATTTATGTAAACGCACAAATACTATAATTACCATTAATTTGTGATTACCATGGCTTTTTGGAGCTATGATCAGTGAAGTTTAACAGCCGTAAATGTAGTTTAAAAAAAAATGTTCGTAGGATCTTACAGGTGAGACTGGTGACATGTCCGCTATAGTTTGCTCTCTCTCTCTCTCTCTCGCTATCTATCTATAGATAGAGAGCGAGATGTCATTAACTTACAAAAAAACAGTGAGTAATACAGAGGTAACGGACCATCTAACTTACTACAGCTGTTGAGGGAGTGATTGTGAATTAGACCATTATTTCTATTCTCTTTGTATTTCTACTTCAATGGAATAATGTGGAATCGCATTAATGTCCGCCAAATCAACAAGTTTATTCGTCTGTTGTGTTCTTCCGCATTCCCAGCCGGCCCAAAGCGCCACACTTCTCTGCACCAATAATCTGTAATAGCGTCACACTTCTCTGCACCAATAAGATCATCTTTATTATAAACCAATAAACGTTAAGGTGGGCGGGGCGACACGTGTCGCTCCGCCCAAAAGTGTCGCCCCGCCCCATCGACCAGAGTGCACTCTGGGGTACTACCTATTTTTTACAGTCTATGATTGAGCTGCACCTCCGTTCAGGATATCCATTCCACAGTTTGCAGCCAGCTAGCAGACTAGCAGCCCCGGGGAATCCCTTTTGGAGTCATTTCAGCAGCCAACGTTAAAGCGCAGACATGGATCATAAATATCGGATTTCTCCGCAGGTTGGATCGGAAAAATCCGATACGTGAATTACGCTGGTATCGGTCCCGATACCGATACTGGATCGGATCGGCCCCATCCCTAGTTTAAAGCAATACGGCCAAATGTTTAAGGTGATAACATCCTATGAAGCCCCCTAATCAAGATGGCTCTTGAATACCTGCTGTCCTTCCCACGCTATAGGTGATGAACATGACTGTGATACTTTTAAGATTGTAAGGAATTGATTCTATGATAAATAAGCTCTTTTAAGTGAAGGAACATTTCAATATAATCTATATTGGAGTGGAAGTTTGATCGGAGCAGACTGTAATTTCTTACACCATGTAGTATATACCATCTACTATAAACTTAGTTTAATTATACATATAAACTTTAGGTACTTTTTAAGCTACAAACTCCTATAGGAGAACATGTTGTAGGTCAATTAGAGAATTTGAGAACCAAACATTATGACTAAATAATCACAAATAACCATTGGCCACTAGCGAGAACCTTTAATTCGTCTCAGGGAAAAAAAGAAAGAAAAAAAAACTTTTTCTTTCCTTTTGCTATTTCCGATCTTTTTTTCTTCTTTTTTTACTTTCTCCTCCCTTACCTTATCCCACCGTTCTTTCTCCTATACAGTGCATACCGACATTGATGTTTCTTGAACTGAAGAAAGACCCATCATTAGTCTGCCGGTCTGCAGCTCCGATGACAGAAAAACCGTTAGATTCACTCTGGGATCACCAAAGTCACCATGCAGATTCCCGTCCATCAAGTGTCAGTTGAGAAAAGTATTAATCAATGTCTGCGTAGTTGATCTTTATCCCATCAATTAGAGCGAGAGGGCCAAGGAAATAAGCTTTTTTCCCCTCCTCTCTTGCTTTTTTAACCAGGGGCCAGAGCTTCTCTCTGGCAATTCTGTCCTCCGGAGACAAAGCCTCAGTAAGCCGCAGTTTTTTGTCACATAAAAACCTGCTCCCTTTAGCGCTCTTCCAGACAGCATCACGGATGCGGAGGAGTGCAAACAGGATAATGACAGATCTGTGGGGAGTCTGGGGACCATCCTGCTTTTTAGGACCAACACGATGGGCAATGTCAATCCCCTCCTCCAGATATTCCTGTAGCCCAGGAGTAACTTTTCCAATCACAGTAATCACCAACCTTCTCACATCCTCGTTGGCTTCCTCTTTCAGCCCGTGCAGCTTTAGTGCCCATCTCCAGCTATAACGTTTGCATTCGGCGACTCCTTCTCTCAGAATTCGGTTCTCTTTTTTCAGATTTTCAATCTCTTGCTTTGTGTTTTTCAGTACTTCTTTATGTTGCTCAACGTCCAAACGTTTTTCAATTTACTTAGAGGTTTCAGTTGTTGTAAGTTCGATGACCGAAATTTTCTGAAATGAGTTGTCAATTTTTTTCCCTAGTTCACCACAACTTTTGGCTAAATCTTGGATAGCAGCCAAAATGTCCGCATGGCCATTCTCTTCGCTGTCACCATTACCATTACTGTGCCCGTGCTTCTTCTTCTTTAGGGCGGGTTTCTTAGAGATATGAGTTGAGGTAGAGAGACTGTCCCCAGCTCTTTCGCCTGGGTTAACGTCAAGTTTAGTCGACATATCTTCTTTACCTGAGTCTTCCATTGAAACGTCTGTGGTACTGACATTAGAGTTGTCTTCCATTGCTTTCACCCTTTTGCTTTCACCCTTTTGTCCTGTTGTGACAAAACTTTAGTCCTGTTACCGCCAGCTAACTTGTGACTTTTCCCTTTTGCCGGTTCTTCTTTTTTAATGTAATACAACACTTGTACCAAATGTAGTTTCACCTTACATTCAAGCCATCATTACACCAGTTACACAGTTACGAGTCAAAGTAATTAGGTTGTGTATTGTGTTATCAAAAAAACACTTTTCTGACAGAAGAGTTCAATACAGCCTCCTCACACCAGCGCCATCTTGGCCCCCCGTCCAATCTGCCCAGAGCCTGTTAAACTTGAGCCAACCAACCCCGTGACGTCACCTGCACAATGGCAGCGCCCTGGCGGCGAAAGATATCCACAAGTTTCCGGGGGCTCTATCAGAAGTTGACAGAATACCAAATGTGCCAGTTAATGTATTCCAGTAGCACATTCAATTAGACTTAGACTTAGACTTAGACTTATCTTTATTAATCCTTAGGGATGACTCCCAAAAGGAAATTGAAAATTCCAGCAGCAGTTTTAGCAAGAAAAGAGAAGGAGAATAAACAGAAGACAGTACAAACAACAAAATTAACAATAATAATAATAGTCAAAAAATCAACAAAAGAAAAAAAGACCATAAAAAAGTGTAAGTATTGAGTCCAGTATTAAAGTGCTAGAGCGATAAAGTAAAGTGACCAGGCATTAATGCAAGTCCAGATAGATATATATGTATTTATATATATTGTCCTATCGTCCTCTCTACCCTATTTCCTCCTCCCCCCTAATGAGGAGTTGTAGAGTCTGATGGCATGAGGAACAAAAGAGTCCTTCAGTCTGTTTGTCCGGCACTTGGGAAGGAGCAGCCGTCCACTGAACCGGCTCCTCTGGTTACTGATGATGGTGTGCAGGGGGTGGCTGGCATTATTAATAATGTCCAGCAGTTTGTCCAGTATCCTTCTCTCTGCCACCATCACCATTGAATCCAGTTTCATGCCGATCACAGAGCCGGCCCGCCTGATCAGTTTATCCAGCCTATTGGTGTCCTTCTTGGATATGCTGCCCCCCCAGCACACCACAGTGTAGAAGAGGACACTGGTAACCACAGACTGATAAAACATACACAGCAATTTGCTGCAGATGTTAAAAGAGCGCAGTCTCCTCAGGAAATACAGCCTGCTCTGTGTCTTCCTGTACAGATGGCTTGTGTGTGTTGTCCAGTCCAGTTTGTTATCCAGCCACAATCCGAGGTATTTGTATGATTTGACTGCCTGCACCTCAACTCCTTCCAGCAAGACCGGTTGCGGATCTGATCTGGACCTCCCAAAGTCAACGACCAGCTCCTTTGTCTTAGTGGTGTTGAGCTGTAGGCAGTTAGTGCGACACCAGAGAGCAAAGTCCCCCACCAGACTCCTATACTCCTCCTCCCTATCACCCTTAATGCACCCAACAATGGCTGTGTCATCTGCATACCTCTGTATATGACACAGCTCCGAGTTGTAACAAAAGTCCGAGGTGTACAGGGTGAAGAGAAGAGGGGCCAGCACTGTGCCCTGAGGGGCTCCAGTGCTACTGACCACAGTGTCAGACATGATGTCCTTCAGCCTGACATACTGTGGCCTGTCCGTGAGGTAATCTCTGATCCAGTCTACCAGAAAGTGGTCCACTCCCATCCTGATCAGTTTGTCCCGAAGTATGGGTGGCTGGATGGTATTGAAGGCACTGGAGAAGTCCAAAAAAAGTATCCTCACTGTGCCTTTCCCCTTATCCAGATGGGAGTGGATCCGATGTAACATGTAAAGGATGGCATCCTCCACACCAACCTTTGGCTGGTATGCAAACTGCAGGCGATCCTCGGCGTGCTGCACCTGGGGTCTGAGGAGGCTGAGGAGGAGCCGCTCAAATGTCTTCATCAGGTGTGAAGTGAGTGCCACCGGTCGAAAGTCATTCAGCTCGCTTGGCCTGTTCTTCTTGGGAACTGGAACGATGCAGGATGTCTTCCAGAGGGTAGGCACTCTCCCTAGCTGTAGGCTGAGGTTGAAGATCCGCTGGAGCGGCTCCCCCAGCTCAGCAGCACAGGTCTTCAGCAGTCTCGGACACACTTTATCCGGGCCCGCTGCCTTCCTGGGCCGGAGCCTCCTCAGCTGTTCCCTGACCTGGTCTGTGGTGATGTGAGGCGGGGATTGTACTGATAAGGGTGGGGGTGATGTGGTGTTGGTAGAAAAATGTGTAAAGGAGGAAGGTATTGCAAAGTCGGAGGGGAGGTGTGTAGACTGGGGTATAGTGGTATCAGGGGAGAAGTGTGTAGGGGGAAGAAGACATTGCTGTGGTGGGGGTGAGGGTGAGGGTTGGGGGGACAAGGGCATGAGCTGGTTAAACCTATTAAAGAAGTCATTCAGCTCATTGGCCATCTCCATTGTCCCTCCCATAGTTTTTGTCTTTGTGTTATGACCCGTGATAGTCCTCACGCCATCCCAGACCTCCCTCATGTTGTTCTCCCTCAGTTTCT